TGGGATTAGTAATACTCACGTAATTGTGGTTCCACGTCCCAGAGTGTTCCCTCTTGGGTCAGCAATTACAGAAAATTCATTGGAGTCGGATTCCCAGATGTGCTGGGTGTCATTGTTATGTTTAGACGTGACAATAACCTTATCTGCTACAAGGAAAGCAGAATAGAAACCGACACCAAACTGGCCAATCAATTCGGAAGTGGACTGGCCATCTTCTTGTGCTTCAGTCATTTTGTTTAAAAACTCACTGGTCCCGGATTTGGCTATGGTACCGAGGTTTTTAACTAACTCTTCTCTGGTCATCCCTACACCAGTATCTGTGACGTGTAGCAGGTTCTTCTCCTTGTCACACTAAAATCAGGAAAGAAACAAGTATTAGCTTGCTTAACATGGTATGCGAAGGAAATGCTGAGGGGTAAACTGAGCTATTTCTGGCTTTAGGTTACACAAATTCTAATGTATAAAATGAAACTGAAGTATTTCCTTCCTGTATTTTAGGACCTTTTCAGGAAGCATCTTAAAGCACAAGAATTTATCTTTAAATGAGAAGCTACTATTTCTCTACTAAACTGTACTAATACACTTCCAATGATTTACAAATAAACTTTCAGCACTTTGCTATGAGGTATTATATTAATAGAAAGGGCAGAGACTGACCTAAGGTGGGGGTGGGGGGGGGGAAATGTTGTCTTCCTTATTTCTTTGAAAGAAAAGGAAGTGATCCAAAATATGAATGACTGCTGTTGGCTTTGGACTCTGTAGTGATCACTTCTATTCACTCAGTAGCCCAGCTCTCTGCCTTCCAAGTCCAGAAGAGGATTATTTTTGGCCCATTTATACTTGGGTAAGGCCATGTGACTAATTCTGGCCAATGAGTGTGAGTCCTAAGTGCTGCTTTTAGACAGGAGCCCTTAATTGGTGTGAGACCCTCCAGAGCCCTCTCTGTACCATGGCAACCAGCAACACTCCAGATGGTGGTGGCTTAATCAGCCTGTGTCCTAGAGTGAGTGTGATGAAGAGCAAAGGCCACAGGCAGCCTCTGATTGATGACTGGAAGGCAGAAGTTGACAAACACTTTCTGCAAACAACCAGGCAGTAAATATTTTAGGCTTTGTGGACAACTAGTCAATTCCACTGTATAGGCAATCCTTAAATGGGCAAGGCTATGTTCCAGTAACATTTTATGTAGAGAAATAGGTAACAGGATCTGGACCACAGGCTTGTAGACCTAAATCTACAACCTGGGTTGTTATTACAGCATAACCTGGCCTAAGTGATGGACTCCTAATCTCAAAGTATTCTTTTCATTTTAATAGGGAAAAAAAAAGCTTACCTTAATTTTGACTGTTAGTTCCTCATTTCCAGAAAGAGCATTTTCATCAGTCAAAGATATTAGCCTTATCTTATCCAAAGCATCAGAAGCATTTGAAATCAGTTCTCTCAAGAAAATCTAAATTAAAGCCAGATTTAAGGAATAGTTAAGATTAGCTTAAGATACCGAATTTCATGACAAATCCTTTTCATTTCTCTTCTTCACTCATGGAATAAGAAATACCCAAAGTACCTTATGGCATTTAAAAGAAAAAAAAAAAAGGAAAAAGAAAAAAAAAAAAAAGAAAAAAGAATTACAATTCCCTAACACCAAGCAAGCACTGTAGCAACTACAAAGGATACCAATAAAACAATAAAAAAGAGCACTTAACTCTGCTATGTATCTTTATGTATGCAACAACTGAGGCTCAGTGCATGTGACTGTCTTAACATTCACAACCACTTAGTAGACATGTTCATGTGGGAGGGAAGGCAGGAAAATATCTAGTATTTCCCGCTTCAGACCTCAAATGATAGTTAAGCGTGCAGAAGCGATCCTTACACACAAGGGACATTTAAATTTTACTCACTAGTTATGCTGAATTACTATGACAATACATTTACCATGAGAAAAAAAATAATTAAGCTACACAGAGATACACTCCCTTAACCACATGTTGCTCACCTCTTTATTTTTATACAGTGAATTGATGATAAGTTTCATCATTCTGTTAACTTCAGCTTGGAAGGCAAACTTTTCAGACTTCTCTCGAAGTTCTCGTATTTGGGATGCATTTAAGCCATCTAACTGGATAGCTTCTTCCTCTCTAAAGAGAAAAGTTAGATAAACAAATGCTGCATTGCTTGGTTCCCTACAAAAACATCAGGTATCCCTCTGATGATTTTCATAAGGGTTAAAAGGATAAAATGGAAATCTTTATAAAATATAACTAATCCTCATCTCATTATTATTCTTAGTTGTTACTCTCGTGCACCTCCAACTCCTAGCTGCCCTCCAAGAGGTTTTCAGATGCAGTAAATTGCATGGGAGAAGACTGCCCATCAGTCTGCTATGGAGCAGCTGGTGGATTCGAACCAAGTTCCATTAGGGCAGCAGTGCAACTCCTTACCACTAAACCACCAGAGCTCCCTAACCTACTAGTAGGTTACTTTTTTTAAAGTGTGAACAGTTTATTTTATTCCACAAGCAATGGAGATGTTATGCAGGTTTTTAAAGAATAACTTTTTTTCCCTCTTCAAACTTTTAAAACATGCATCATAGAAAATGGAAAAGCAGAGAACACAAAAGCCACCCATAATCATCTCGATGAGGAGTTTATGTCTTTTTATAGTTCATGCATATAAACACACAACCAAGTATACATTTTTATCAGGCTATAGGTTCTTTTCAACATTCAGTGGCAATCACTCAGTTCTTAAAATTCCCAGAAAAGTAAACACAAATTTCCTCTACTAAACAGCAAGGTCTACAAAAGAGTCAAGCATGAGGCAAAATGTAAAACTATTGCTCAGCTGACTGAACTTATCCTTTCAAGTGCATCCACAGGTTGAGGCCAAAACCAACTGAAACAAAGCCCTCTTCTAAGGTCTCAGGAAGTTTATGGTGCCTAATAGTCATTCAGTAACGTAATTAATCATCAGAACTGTTTTCAAAGGGATGAGTTTAGCTATCTATCTATCTAATTTCCTTTTTAAATTTCTTTTTAGGAGAAAGCATGAGTGTAGTCCCCCACTACCACAAATTATGTGGTCGAGTTTCCCACATAGGGGAAATTGCAGGGGTCAGCACATCCCGGTGCAAAGGAAAGACCTCCCCTGTGAAAACCACCTTCCTGATCATGGTATCTCCCTTGCCAGGTTAAGTACTTAATTAGATTTTGAACAATCATTTCTAGAGGAGGTGGATAATGACTAAATTGGGAACAGGGAGGTATGGAACACACACCCTTCATGTCCTTCAGGTACTCTCAGTCCACTTTGAGGTATTTAAACACACAGTGCTACAATCTATCCACTCCCAGGAGTTGCAACTGAACTCAAGGTAACAAAAAAGCAACAAGATTGCTCTATCCAGTGCCTCTGGTGTTACAAAGAAACTACTGTATCCCATAGCTTTGATCAGAAGGTGGTCAGAGTTTAGCTAGCGCGTTTCCAACGAGCACAGACCTTTGGACGACTTCATCGTCTGTCCTAGAGCCTTCTCTGCTTTTACCCAGATCCTCTTCTACCGTACCATCCACGTCGACTTCATCATCTGCTCGGACCGACCCTGCTGGGGAGAAGATTGATGAATATGACCAGCCGGGGCAAAGGTAGCAGGAGTTGCAAAATTCAGCTGACCAATAATAACAGACAGGGGAGAAAGGCAGGAGGGCATGCGCTCGTTTAAATAACCCACGTAAACGAGCCGGTGGTTCCCCCTAGGAAAGGAGGACCCCGGCAGCCAGCGATCGCTTCGACACCCTCCAGTCGTGCAAATCCTCCCGCAGCGGATCCCTCCCCGGCCCTCGGGCAGCCGCACACACGTGTTGCACGCGTCCAAGTCGAGGAGACAAGGCCTCCACCACTGACCACGCCAAGACTTGGACCTTCGCTTCCAGGGACCAGAATACAAACGGGATTTGGTGCAACCTCGGGCGAGGGGGAGCGAAAGGAAGCCCTTAAACGGCTGGAGAAGCGGAAGAGATGCTAAGATCGATCTAGGTCCGGGGACACGGGCAGAGACACGCTGTCACGTCCTTCCTCCCTCCCCGGGTCCCAGGCCCCACGCGCCCGAGTCCACCAGGTAGGAAACAAGTCGAGAGACGGTGGGGGGCGATCAAAGGTCGCAGCACCTGATCAAAGTCCTCCCTGGGAGCGAGGAAGCCCCCGGAAAGGCCACTTCGCGGGGAGGCCAAGCCCTCCGAGCGCGGACACTCATCAAACCGCCGGGGGCTTCCAAGGACTTTGTTCTCTTGTTTCTCTCCAAAACCGAGCAGAGAGAAAGGCTGGGTATTCAACGCTGAGCATCTTAAAGGAGAAAAGGCGACGGGCGCCTCGGATGGCTCATCGATGCCTCTGCGGCACCCCCTCCCCAAGTTCAACGCCCCCAGAACCTTCGAGAAGCGGCCGAGCTCGGGTAGAGAAGGTTTCAGGGGGGCACCCACTCTCCCTGATCGCTCACCGAAGGTCAGCAGGACGCAGCAGAGGCCCAGCACCCACAGGGCCCTCATGGCGCGCGGTCGGCGAGAAGTCTCAAGTCCCTTCGGATCGCAGGAGCCGCCGCCGCCGCCCCCCCACCCCGGTGTTCAGAAGCTCACACCTCAGGCCGCGCGGTCCGCCCACTACCCTCCCAGCAGGTCTGGCCGCTTTTCACCCCCACTCCTCGCGGGCGGGGGACGGGAAACACGAACTTGCCAATCACACCGCACCACGCACCTCGGGGACCCAATAGAAATGCGTGGGGGGGAACAACCATCTACCAATCGCAGCTGTCCAGGTGCGGTGTCCAGTACCCGAAGCGTGGCTCCTCCCGATTGGATATCCGAAGCCTCTTTTCTCCAATCAAAGATCTCCGCGGGCCCCTCACACATGGGACCGCCCCTTTGCCTGAGAATCTTCGGCCTTTAACGGAAACCGCCCAATAAACGTCAGCGTTGACCACCTCCATCTTTTGAGAGGGCGCAGGGGAATTATTTCCGGTTCCTAGAGCGCGTTTACTTCGTGACCAAGGGAAACGGTAACCATGGCAACGCATTCCTTCCTTCCTTATCCACTCTCCACATGGAATCACGTTGAGGGTAATCCCAGCTCAACTTTTCACACATAACTCTACTCGGCAGGGCTTCTCGGAAAAGAGAAACACGTGAGAGGTTGAAAACCCGGGACTCTTTTTTTAGATGGGGTGGTGACAGACTACAATTCCCAGCATGCAACGTACTAGAGGTTCGTGGAAATGGATGCTGGGAATTGTAGTCTCTGCCTAGCTGCGTAGTTTGGCCCGCTCAGGTTTTTACAGAAAGATGTGCACTAACTTGGCTTTGTGTTTAGAATCGATATCTCCCTCCAGTTAGGGATCTGTGTTTATTCTGGGAAGCTTTGGTGTACAAAGTTTTTACAGGTGGTTTTAGGGTGCCACGGCCTGGCTCGGCTTTCAGAAGTTGGAGTGGGGACTATTTTCCCACCTGAGCCGCTTTGATGCCCTCGACTCTCTAAAATGCAAAGGCCCTGCAGGTAGTCAGGGTCCCTTCTAGCACAGAAAAGCAGGCAAAACTTATCTTCACTGAGACAGGAGGATACACCTGCGGATATTTGAGAGCAAAACCTGGCAGCCGCAAATAAGAGTACCAGTTGGTAACTTCATTAAAATACCCAGTAAGCGTTCAGAAAAACGCAGAAGGGAGCAAAAAAACCCCACCCCCAAAACAAACAGGTGTTTTCCTGTGAGGGAAGCCCATTTCATTGAGTTGCGAAATATTTTCTCATCTTTTTTTGCTCTTGTCTATATTTATTCTGTTCCCAATACACACACGAGCGTTTCTTATTCTTTTTTAAATTGCTTCTAGGAAAACTGAACTTCGAATTTGCTTTTAGGCAATCATTAGTTGAATCCCTGAGGACCAGCTTTTCAGTGATGGACTTTTATAATCTTTTACAACTTCCTCTATTTGGGTTTGCCTATCTTGACTCTGTGGTTGTGCTTTATTTACATGTGCCCAAATTACCTGCATTTGTTATTAGTAAGCAAAAGACACAAAAGATACTTTCTAGAATGTGTTTTATGTGGTTGTAATCCCATCTACTCCTTCCTTCTCCCTTTGACATGTATCCAAGTGTGCATTACACACAGAACTCTCAAAGTTTTAAAGTTTATTTTCTGTAAGAAAAGTTGAGGACCTTTCCCCTGGCTTTTTATTGCTCAACTTCATCTTTTTCTCTTGTTCTTAATGGGTAAGCAGCCAGTTCTGAAACTACAGATTCCATTTATTGGTCAGTGGTGGGTAGTTCGACCTGCACCTGGAAGGAACTGAGAATGACACATGCCTTCTGAAATAGAGCCATTTTTGTGGGGAGGTTTGTCTGCAGATAATGGGGAGAATTCAAAACCAAGCACTGCCCAGCATAGGATTTTGGCTGGCAGAAAGAGATTGGTCGCTGTCTCGTTTACCTCTGCTCTTTTAAAAACTACTTTAAGACTAATATAAGAGGTATGGACAATGTCTTGGTTTCTTTTTTCTTTTTTTTAATTAATTTATTTATTTTTCATTTCAATGAACATCTACAGAGATTTTGGAATTCCATTCATTCATTGTTGCACTATGTCTTGGTTCTTAATGCTACTTTACCAGAAAAGTCACAGTGGTGGCTTTAATGGACAATGTATTTTCTCACAACTTAGGAGGCTCAAAGTCTGAATTCAGGCCACTGGTTTCTCTCTGTTGGCTCTGGGGAAGGATCTGTTTCCCCTTCATTTTCTTGTCCTTGGTTCCTTGGCTACCTTCATGTGACAGTTATGTTCCCTGTTTGTCTTTTATCTAAGCACTAATGTGATAATTTTATGTTGCAGAAGTATTTGGCTGTTCCCAAATGGAAACCTTGCAAATGTTGGTCAATAGAAGAGTGGATAAATCAGCAGAGCTATACTAAAAAATGATGTACTGCTATCAGCAATGGAAAAAGAAGTTACACACAAATACACACAGACACAGTGATTGGCTGAAGACACATCTTGCTGAAGACACACACTGACATGCTCTCATTAACATAGCAAAGAAAATCCTATTCCCAGATGGGATTACATTCACATGTATCGGGTTAGGATTTCTAACACAATTCAGTTTATAACAGGCAACTTTCTTGTTTGCAGGCTTCCTCTTTCTTTCCTGTGATCTTTTAAACTTCTCTGACTTTTGACCCTTTACTGATTCTCACTTCCCAGCTTGGTCTTGCTGCTCCAGGATTGAGGTGACAGGTGGTTACTTCAGCTCACAACTTTGGATCTCATCCCTTTGCTTCCTAAGTTCAGCTTTCCTCTTCATGGACAGGACCAGAAGCAGCTGCATTTGCTATACTTGATAAGTTGATCAAAGGTGTGTTATAGCTCATCACACTTTAAGAAGTGATTCTTGAAGTAGATAGTTCAGAACAATGGATGAATCTCCTAATTGTCTTTGTTAGGTACCATGAAGCCCACTGCAATGCATAAGTGACCTGATGAACAAGAAATTGGAAACCTGTCCTATCTGGCACCATCCTCAACATCTCTGCCATGTTAGAGCCCATTGTTACAGTCCCTGTGCCAGTCCATCTTGCTGAGGGTTGCCCACTCTTTCTCTTATCATTGACCTTTCTCAGCATGATGCCTTTTCACAGGAACGGCCCCTTCTGATAATATGCCCAACGTTTTTGAAACAAAGTTTTACCTTCCTTGTGAACTTCCTTCATGACAAATTTGTTTGTTCTTTTGGCAGTCCATGGTATGTTCAATACTTCTATTACCCATAACCACAATTCAAAGACATTGATTCTTCTGCTGTCTTCCTTCTTCAGTATCTAACTTTCCTATACCTAGGCAGCAATTGGAAAAATACCATGGCTTGAATCAGGTGCACTTTAGTCTTTAATTTCCTTGCTCTTTAGCACTTTGAAGAGGTCCTTAAGAGCAAATTTTCCCAATGTGACATGTCTTTTGATTTCTTGATTATTGCTGTCATCAGTGCTGATTGTAGATCCAAGAAAAATTTAGTTTCTTAGTTGTTCTTAGGTGCCATTGAGTCCCATAGGACTTACAGAAAGTCTGTGAACAATAGATCTGAAACCTCTCCTAGCCTGCACCATCCTAATAGTGATTGGAAAAAACTATGACTTGAACCAGGCATACTTTAGTCTTTAAGCCAACCGCCTTACTCTTCAGGACTTTGGAGAGATCCCTGAAAGCTGACTTCCCCATGCTGTGTGTCTCTTGGTCTACTGACTGCTGAAATAGCACACATTAGTCTTTTTATTTTATAAATTTTATTGTTATTAATTTTAATGAAAATTTACAGAGACTTTGCATTTCCATTCATTGTTGGACTTTTCTCCCTGCCCCCACCCCCCCCAGTACACTCTTCTCTTTGAAAAGTAAAAGAAAAATCCTTTCATTGTTTTACAATCCCTCCCCACAGGTCCACTCTACTATGCAGCCTTCATTCTGAACTCCTGTCATGACAATAATACATAATCACATATCCCTTTTAAACAGTTTTCTCCCT